TACTATCATGCCATTCGAATTTAAAGGTTTACAACTTAAAACTGATTAACTACAGCTATTGGATATATTTTCTACAATCTTCTTATCTGAAAGAAAAATGTCAAACCTTTCTTAGCTGCAGTGGATGTTTTAGGAGGCTGTGCTGCTGTGCTCCTGCCACTAGAGGGTACTATGGTGGCTCTTGAAGCAGCAGTTTTAGCAGTTGCAGTGGCAGAGGGCTTGGTTGTAGCTGTGGTGGGCCTGGATGTGGTGGGTGCAGGTCGAGCAGTTGAGGGAGCGGTAGTAGGCCTGGAGGCAGAGAAAAAAGGACGTGTTAAAGCAGCAAAAAAACGCAACAATGAAAGTATACAACAAAAGCAAACAGCTGATTGTTTGTTGGCAAAGGTCCAAACATGAAATGTGATGCTACAGCTCCACACTCATTTACGAGCATAAATACATGACCTGTCCTGATGCAAATCACAATTTCAAAAAAGCACCATCCATCTATCTATTGCCACAGTAATGCCCCCTTCTCTAGCACGATGCAATGACAGGGTGTGCTGAGAAGGGGGGAGTAGAAGAAGTAAGAGAAGAAGTAATGCAAAGGTAGAAGAGATAGAGGCAATGGAAAGTGACAGGGGCTAAAATATAGAGTTTGTGAGTGGAGCAACAAGAAAGAAAAGAAGAGGTGAGAAAGAAAGATGACCAGAGAGAAGAGCAGGTAAAAGAACACAAATCAAGAGGAGGAAAGTAAGATAACTGCTGTCAGCACCCAACAGTGGTCCACTAGAGAGGCCAGCCCTGCTCTGAACAGCTCAATCTTCTGTGCATCAGACTTTAAGTGCAGTGATATGATGATGCTGTAGCCCAATTAAAAATCCAAGTGAAGCTAATGATGTGCTATACTGGCTCTATGAAATCTCCACACAATACATTCGTCTTGTCAGGCTCCAAGAATTTGACATGGTCTGTGCTGCACTGGGTAACCTACAAACAGCTTCAGTCGGTGAGATGAGCGAGTAGCCAGCCGCAGGCGGCACTAGTCCTCATTTCTACACTTGAATTCTGGTGTTGGAAAACAATGGAAAACCTCAGTGCTGTAAATTGTCTGTATGACATCTGTTTCTAATCAAACAGACTGACTTTCACAACAACAGCAGCAGAATAATCAAACGCAACTGCCTTAAGGAAACTGTGTGACCCAGCCACCAATTACAACAATGTCTTCTTTTGAATTTGGTCTTCTGACATGCCTGATGATGAACGCAAGAACTGACAGAGATTCGCAGACTTTGATGGCTTTCAGTGCAGTAGCATGCCTGCACACAGATGCCGCTCCCACATTACAATAACCAATACAATGACCATTTGTTTCCTCCTGAGATCACACAGCTACTGCAGACAAGCACTCACTGCAGTGAGACAGTGCAATTGCCTATTATCATGAGATTTGGAATGTGAAGTGCAGCTAATAATGGCCATTTTTCATATCTAATCCTGTATGTCAGCTAAATCTGAATAGACAAGTACGCTCAATTACAGGAGTCGAGGCAGACGACACTGAGTGATTGGCGTCTTCTCCATACAACTACATTTTCATTTGAAAACAGAATTTTCAAATTGAAATAATCTCTGTCCACCAGCATGTAAACTCTGTATCAAATGCAATCTCAGTCCATACTTATATGCTTGAAAATTAATATCACAAGACCACTCACAAACACTAGGCATATGCATCCAGGAAGACAAAGACATTGTTGCTGGAATAGCAGCACATCTTCTACACATTTCTTTGTAATACAGAATGGAACAGCACAACAGGGTCAGCAATGCTTGTAATTGATTACCCATGGTGGTTCTACACTGGTAGTCGAGGCTAATGCCAGTTGTTACGGTTCTTCTGACACTGAGTCATATGATGGGAGCCTGATGAATCAGCGATGGGTACGTTTTCAAATGAAAAAGATCCAATGAGCAAGCTGTTGCAAGTGTCCGTATCGTTGTTTTTGCCCATCCAGACAAAGACGCAGCCCCAGTTTTAAAACTAAAACGGGGTCAGCAGCGTTTCCAAACATATCAGTTTTAGCAGCTCTAAAACTCTATAGTAGTGTGGAGGCCAGGTGAATCCATAGATACAGAGTTGATGCATTTTCCAATAAAAATGTAGTAGTACAAGTGAAGCCTGCGAAGAGTTAAGGATAACAAAGACACATTATAAGCCTGAACAACCCTTACCCCTCCCTCCACCCTTTCATGAGGAGTCATAATTCATAAAGGTCTGATCCAGAGGGACACCACGGACAGGAATACACAGCCACACTAATGCCCCTGCTCCACACACCCTCTGTGGGTGGTGGGTGGTGGCTGTGGTTCTGTTGTTGGTGTATTAGTATGGATTACATTTCCTGCCAGCACAGGGTTGAAATCAATACAAATCACAGATTGGAGAGAGGATGAGGGGAACTACACAACCACCCACAGGATTTTAATGACCAAACACGAGGTCTTCTTCAGGGCAAAGGTCAGCACAGAGACACAATGACACTTTATGGGCTTTCTTCGTTTTAAAAGTCAATATTCACAAATGTTTACGACAGATGAAAAACAGGGCACCCATGGCATTAACATGCTGAGCAGCTGCAACATCTGTTTGGCCAAAAATCAAAGTGTAAACACGAGCCAGGGGAGATTTGCTGAAACCACACTCCATCCATGACTCTTTCCTCTCGTTCTTCTAAAAACACAGCTGGGAGGCTCAACTATCTTGGCATACCCAGGCTGGTGGATTAAATTATTCTGTTTTAATCAAGCCAAAGAGAAAGGAGAGGTCTTGGTCAGGATGTACACTTTATCCCTGTGGCAGTAAGCTCCTCCTACAAATACGGCTACGTACATGCTCATCACTTCAAGAGCCTCCTCCGAGACAACAAATGGAAATAAAGCACCGATGCCATGTAAAACCAGCTGCTTTACTCCCTTCCTGAGAAGAGCACGCATTCCTTGAGGTTGTGCTGGCCCACAGTTATCTCCTTGACAATAAAGTGAGGCCTGAATCAGCTCAGTGGAGACTTTATATGAAGTGTTGCAGCCTAGCAATAGCAGGGGCAGACAGTGTTTGGCTCTTACAAGGCCCTAGACACCCACTGTCACCGTGATGGATGCCATTGGTCTTCGCTGTTAGGACAGTAATCCTGCTTCCCTGCCAAGTCTGTCAGGGAGATGAGGCAGTTTTATGTCCAACAGAGCAACAATATAGAAATTCAGGGGATGAGACAGCAAGGGAAAAACTAAATGGTGTGATAAGTGAGAAGAAAGTGTGTTGCCCAAACAAGTACCTTGTATTTGGTATAGTTTTAATAATTTATCCAATACAGCAGGTTCAGCTTTGAAGATATGGGGGTAAGTTCTAGATCAGAGACAAAAAATACTATCCTACTGCAATTCCACACATTCCCAATAATATCCACTAACTCTAACTAACGGAATCATCCAACCTGACTGCTAACCAACATGAAGGCATAATCCCTGTCCTTCTCGTGTTACACAACTTCACACTTAACTTTTCAGTCTCTGTATGCAGTTAAATGATGAATGAGTTGGAGCACTACATGGAAGCTATTAGGAGGGTTTGAGGAGATCCTGGCCAAAGGCCCAGCACTGTACATGCACAGACCGCAGAAAAGAGGGATGAAGGGGGAAGACAGATTGAAATGGGGGCTGGGTGGACAAAGACTGATTGCTCAGTCAGTGCGAGGACACCAAATGCCATCACTGGAGGAGAGCAAAGCGAAGCAGCAGCCAGATCTGACTTTGAATCCAGTTACCAATGTTTCTCATGGATCCCAGAGATGCCCTGGTGTCATGCAGATGATACGTCGGCTAACCAATTTTAGTTATATGCTGTTGAGACACAGAAATAAGCACAGAGCTGAAACTGTACAGCCTCATTACCAAAACTGATCCAGCATTATGTCAAATCTTATTCTCACCTTCCTTTAGCACAAACACTATTCCCCAGAGTTAGCAACATCACAATATATTACCAAATGTTTTCTGCCTTTCATGAAAGAGACTTTGATAATAATGTGATTTTCATTTCTCCCTTTGGACCAGTTAACATTAATGCTTCATGAGAGGGGGTGGTCTTTACATTTGGACACAGACAGCTTGAGCTACTACAACATGTTTGTTGTACAATAGGCCTTATTGTCTATGCTGTTTTCCACAACAGGTCTACACGAGACAAGAGACTTACTTGCAGGTACTTGACTAGAAAAATGTTAATGTGGGTTCCAGTGCGACAGTAAGGGCTGCTATGACTGCTGTTGTCTCAGTAACATGAAAAAGCGTTCCAATGAAGTTCCTCTCTGGTATTTGATGGATCATGGACGTTGACTTCAGGAGCCAACTACTGACATGAAATTCTCAACAATTGTTGTTTTTTTTTACCTTCATCTGGATTTAAATATTTTGTAGAATGGTGATATTGAGTAATAACGGGGAAATATCAGGAGTGTAACCAAAATATTGTTGCATATGTTGCAATGGAAGTATGCAAGTCATTGCTTGAGCTGAGAGAATGTTAGTGCCCGACTCTGCCAGACAGCTCTAACACCAATACGGACTGAAACACACTCCACTGCTACACAAAGAATTTGACAAGCTACCGACTTGGCCATCAAACACACGCACCACACACAGGTGGCACAAAATGCAACATGCAACGTCTGTCACAAGGGCAGTCCACCTGCTGCAGTTCTGTTGTTCTCCCTGAGTCTCAAGCTGGGTGGCAAGTGCCCAATGTCACGTCCTGAGGACCGGGCAACAATACAGAATATGTGTTACTGTAATTAGACTCCTACACTTAAAATGCCTCATCTCATCAATTCAGAGGATGAGCTTCTGAGTACACACCTTGGCACTTACACATAAAATACCAAACATATTTTTGTTCAATCCAACACAGACTTTTCCATCAGTCAGGAGAGCCAAGAGCTGAAGTGATTGATGTATAAAGTCATTTAACAATCAAAACCTGCAACCATTCTCAGATTCCAGTTAATTCATAGTATGCAATAATCACAACATTAAACTGAGAGTAATTGTTGGTCTCAGCCATAATTAAAAAAAATTATTTTGAATCTGGAAGCATGGACAGAAGTCGATTGCCCCCCGCTTCTTCAGAAAACAGTGACGTAGCAGAAAGCAGCACAGTATTCCTTTATCTAATAAGAGGACATTAGGACGGAAGACATGTGGGAACAGAATCTAATCAGACCTTTCAGTACAGAACACTACATCCTGTAGGTAGATTAGTGTATTATAATCATTACTTCAAACTTTGGAGACCACTTGTAATTACACATTTTAAAAACATTTGAAGTCAAATGATTTGTCGCTATAGCTTTGGGCTCCAGCTGATAATGATATTGGGCAGCAGATGATAGAAGCCTGGATTTAACCGGATATCTTCAATTTTCAAGAAAAAGGTCTTAACTAACAAAAGCTTCCAAGTTGAAAGGGCAGTCAATGACCCGATCGACTATAAAATTCAGCCGAATGATCATTTGAGAGCAGCATTCAAGCCAGTTCAGTCTGCCTACATCACAACCTTTCCAAACCGTAGGCCCTTTATGAGAGGGATCAGGAGCCGAGTCATCAGCGCTCTGCCCTGGGGAGGTGGGGCTGGTTGCTGCCAGGGGGTCTGTTGTGGACAAAGCCACAGTTCTTCAGTATCATTGGACTGATAAGGGCCTCTGTCTCAGGTTATTACTGTTAACATGACTCACACTCTCAAACCGAAATGTGACTCAATACCGGTCCAAAGACCATAATGGACTTCATTATCCGCTGCTCCCTTTCAGGGCATCAAGATAAACAAAGTCACCCTCTCGTCCAGTTTTTTAAGGGAATTCAACATTGAGATCTCAGAGAGAAAGAAACACAATTAGGAAGAGGATGGGTTTTATTTATTATGTCAATAAAATAAATGGCTTTCTAACCACATAATATAGCTAAATGGACGCTGGAAGCCCTCTGTTTGTAGTTTAAACAATCATGTAAGGGCAGGCTTTGGATTCCCGCAGGCAAACAGTCGTGTGGAGAGCAGAAGAGGTGGAACACAGACCAAAATGAATTGGCTAACTGCTTTGTAATTTATCTGCGTCATAAGCAGCTCATAAAAGAGATTGGCCAAAATGTCTGGAACCTAAACACAGTCAAAAAGCATTGCTGTTTGCATCTTAGACAGAGAAACGTTTAACTCATGTGGACTCGTCGGCTTGCAGACAGCGGACAGTGAGTCAGCCTGGATATCCAGTGTTTACACTGGAAGTTAGAAAAATATTGGCTGTTGCCTCCCGAGGCTAATTTGTTGTCAGATGATAGCCGATGGGCTCTGAGATAAGTAACCACATAACTTGATTCAACTGTTAAATACACAGTGTCATTAAAGCATCTGCTGACTATTTATGATGGTAATGCATACCTTGTGGTCCTTGAAGCAGGAGCACCACCAGCTTTGGTTGCGGTTGAAGTGCTGGGTTTGGGGGCAGTCGACACTGCTGACCTGCTGGTAGAAGCTGAAAAAAAAGATGAGACGAGAAAAAGATCAGGTTTTCAGCAAAAAAAAAAAAAGCATGACGCTACATCAAGCGAGAAATTTAAGATAACATTTAATTTTACAGATTTCAGACTCACCTGTGGTTTTGGGTCGTGCTAGATTAACAGTCTCAGCCACCGGTTTCTTCTTAGGAGGACCATTCACCGTTGTTGGTTTGGTACCATTTGTTGCTGTGGCAGCAGTAACATAGGTCGTCCTGGTGGGTCCAGCAGGCTTCTTGTCAGCCACTCTAGTTTGGTTCTTGACAGTTGAGGAAGGTGCTGCTCCACCCAATGGTCTTATAGGTACAGCTCCTGCTGCTGATGCTTTTGTCGCACTTGCTGTAGCTGTTCTCTTGGTTGCAGCTGCAGAAACACTGTTAGAGGATTTGACGTCATTTCTTGTGCGGTGTGAGGCAGCACCTGGCCTCGAGTTGGATCCAGAAACCACTGCAGATTTAGCTTTGGGCTGCGTTTTACTTGCAACACCTGTTGGTTTGACTTTGAGGTCTGCTGCCACTGGCTTGCCACTGGTCTTTGGAGCAGGCCCAGCTGCTGCATCACTTGCAGCTTCCTCTGGTTGAGATGATGCCTGCTCTGTTACATTGTCCAGTGACAGGGAGGGTTCTGGTATTGCTGCGGCTTCGGTGGGCTCCGTGGATTCCATGGTAACCCCATCCGGTTTCATTCCGTTTCTCCTAAGGTGTGGACACTGATGTTGCTGCTGATAAGTTGGGCCCTGCGGCTCACTCGTCTTGGATGGCCAGTTTTCCTCTCACTTTAATGTCCTGTAAAAGAAAAGTAGAATTAATTAAGAAGTAACCTCCAGGCTCTTAAAAGGAGAGCCAAACCATGCTGCACTCCTCATAGTGTCACGAGATAAACATGTCACTGTTAGCCACAGGATGTGCCATTTATGGTAAGAGGCCTCTTTGGAATTTAAGGGAGTCTGAAAAACAGGAAGTGAGCAGTGTGAGATGCCAACAAACCTATAAACGCTTGTTCTTCTCCATACTCATGTAACACAGAACTGACGATACCATTTCATAATGCGTGAGCAAGCAAAATTAACTTAACAATCTCTATTAAATCACCACAATAAAAGAACAGTGGAATTTTTTAAAGAGTGCATTTTGGGGTATAAATGCACAAAACTTGATGACTGTGCTCCAAATGGCTCCCAGCATCTTGAAATTAAAAAGGGGGAAAGCTGTGGTTTGGAATAGTGAAAGCCAAGAGGCTTCACAGTTTCCTGCTATGACACACAACCCACAGAGAATGAGGAGATGACAAGCATGAATGGCCTATTTTGCTGGTCATTATCTTCATGTTGAGCAAATGCTAATCATCGAGTCACCAAACGTTTCCTTCATTGACAGCTTTAGAGGAAAATTAAGAGTATAAGAGGCTGCAGTGAAGAAAAGGCTGATATGTGGAGCATGTGCATGAGTCAGAGTCATATAGGTTTTGACTCATTAACCTCAGTCAAGTTTCTCTGGACAGAGCTCTATGATCCAGATCCATTACGGGTTTAGTCAGCTTTCCCCCCAATCATGCTCTCGACACACACCCCCCAGTCCTCTGCCCCTCTGACCAGATTAGCCTCAACCCACCCTCTTCCCGATTACTCCTCTCTTTTCGTAGAGCCACTTGTTCTACTCCTTGCTACCATAACTCCCTTCCTCCAACTTACTGGCTTCCAGTAAATTGATACACAGATGGGCTGACCAGTAGCAGCTCAATACGGCACAAGAAACAAGCTATGCAAGAGATTGACTGAAGAGAAAATAAAAAAGGATTGAGAAGGATAGAAGAAAATAAAACAGCACAGAGCTATTTAAGTAACTACAACAACAAAATCTTTCAAAAAGGGAGGCAAAAGATAAATAAGAAAACTAAACTAATTTAAAAAACATAGATTAGAATTACAAGGCAAGAAATGCAGTATAGTAAAAAACAAACAAACCATGAAAGGAAATCAAAAAGAATGGGCCAATGTTGATGCTTAATATGTAAGCCATTAAACATCACAATATAAAAATAAAATAGTTCTCAGGAGAGCATATAACTCCACCAAGGCCCAACAGTCCCCTTATGAAACCACATTTACATTTTCATTGGATCCAGATTTTTATTTCAAACTGCACAAAATTGCCCAAACTCATAAATATCAGTCCCCTAAACATGCCTGATTTTTTTCAATATGATCCATGAATTACTCTCCGAGACATCAACAAAACAATTTTGTTGGTTTTTCATTTCCACAGACATAAGAAAACCTACTGCAGACACAGTGTCAAATAATAATCCAGTACTCCGAGAACCTGATTTTGTCTTTCAATAATAAATGCAGTTACTTAAATAATCTGTATTCATCTCTAACTGACAGACATTCGAGGTTCAATTATTTTGCGAGAAGCTGCACACATTTCGTGTCCTAAGTCCAGGGAACATTTTGCTCAGTGGTTACACATTAACATCTGCGATACTTATCTCCCATAATTTTTTTTAACTTTTGCTTTCATATTTACAAAGCAAATTTACTCTTGGACATTGATGCACTGGGGGTTAGCGGAGCGAAAATAGACGATTCGTAGGATGAATAACAAATGCATCAATGGATCCTTTGTCACCAATTCTGAACCAACTTGTTTGACCAGATTAGCTTTGAGAAGGTTTGAATACAGAAACTCAACTCTCCAAATAAGCAAACCACACAACCCCCACATCTCATTCCGTTCAGGAGGAAAAGTTACAAGTTGAATACAGTGCTGCTTGTGCTAAAAATCTGCTGTCTACTGTTGAAGTTGGTTACATATCTCTCCCAGGTCACTCAGGTTATTTTCTAACAATACGATGCTTGCAGTATCCCTACTTCTGGAAAATATTTACCCTGAAAAGATGATAAATTGGCTAATGTTTAAAGCCCTCTGGAACAGTGCTGTGTGGCTCAAATCCATTATCATCGCTTCAAGGACTGAGAAGGTTACAAAGCTATTAGCAAATTGGGAACCATGCAACCGAGAGCTTGTTTCAAATTCCACTACAAATCTGTCTCTTTCCTGTTGTCAATGTTGAGTCTAAAAAGTAATTAAATCAGGTGAATCTTGTTCTTTGTAGAGTTTATGGATAAGATTTTCCAACTTATTCAGACAGGTGGGAGCTGCTCCAGACACAAGGAGCTGGTGGACAGGGGGTTGGGATGGCACTGTGCATGACACGGCATAGTTTTGCCAATCCAGCTTCTAATGCCAGGGGCTTAGCAGATAGCAGCATGAATCACATTGCCCATGTGATGACCCCTTTCTGGGCAACTAAAGGCATCATCTGTGACCAGCTGAAAATTGTACCACAGCGCAAAGGGGAAGTGAAGGGATCATTAAAATCCCACCCACACACGCAACCAGAGATAAGTGATGTTTTACAAAATAACAGACTGGCAGCCCTGGTGTTTGTTTTCATATCAAATAAATGGCACCCTTCAAACCAATACTAAACCTAATTCAGGGATTCTTCAAGCTGATGATATAATGGGCTGGGTCAAAGGTGCAGATTTTATGTTCAGAAAACTGACTGCACAACTCTAGCAACATTTTTTTAAATGGTCTTTTTGGTCAAGATGAACAGCCTCATGCATTTTGATGAAACACAAAGAACTCCCCTTCTGTCTGCCACTCTCTCACTTCACATTTGCATAACAAATACTCGTCCACTGAAGATTTCAAACCATATTCAGGACGCAGTGCACCTTCTTTCTCGCAGCTTCACACAGCCTATGTCACAATTAGCTCAACACCCATGGCGACAATTACAATGTGTTGTTAATATTGTGATGATGAAAACAAAAGGCACAAAAGCTGAAACAGCTACAGTAGAGAATGTTTAGCCAGAGCGGGAGAAGAGTGTGTGTTTATAAAAGAAGATTGTTAGAGGGAGTCTGTCTAGACGTAGAAAGAACTCAGTGGCCTCGGTGATATTTACATTCCACCTCTAATAAAGAAATATGGCCTTCTGCATCATTAAATCCTACTCCTGACCTGACTGAAGGCCGTTTGATTACATCTGCCATACCCCATCTCTTAGTCTGTTGTGCTACACATCCAGACACTAGTAGTCGAGCTTGACAAAATGGGTCACTTTTAATACTGTGTCTAATACAAGCAGAGAGGGATTTAGCTGTGTTGAGAGCATGGCAGGGGTTTGGAATGCCTGCTGCAGACTGCTGGATGTGGTGGTGGTGAGGGGCTGTTGTTAGTGTTGCTGGGGCTTAATGTCATCTGATCATTTTACCCCAGACTGCTGTCACAATTCTGCAACCCAAAAAACCCCAGCAAAACGACAATACATCGCAGGTAAATACCAAAACACGGCAATGGCTGAAAGTTTGAGACATTTTCCAGCCATTCAAAGTCTATTTTGTAGAGATGAAATCCTAAAATCTGATTGACAGAAAAACATTGGCAACAATTTTGAGATGTGATTAATGATTCAAACAAGCTCATTCCGACTGTTCAGTTGTTTTCTTGTTTTACAAATATAAGAGTAAGATTAATGTTTTTCAATTTTGCAAACAGGTAATGAGGTAAAAAATGGATTAAATAGATATTGGAAATAATACCTTACTGTGGCCATAGTTTGCACATACTTCTGTCAATGCTACGTCTGCTCCATTATGATTGATGGTAGAAAGTGAACGTCTAAAGCAGCAGCAGTTTAAGGAGCACATTCGACCCATCCACATTCCAGCGCTGCTGACTTCCTTAAGACGCTTCAGGGCTTCACAGTGACAGCTGGCAGTGTTGTAGTGTATGTCATGACTTTAATAATGTATTTATTTATTTCATAATAAACACACACGTACATCACCTTATTATAATTTGAGTTTAAATCAGGACAAGTTCTAAATTTTGTAAATATTAAATTTTTCATCAATTCCATTCGCTTCCTGTGTGTTTAATGTGACTATTTTTATTCAGTCACACATACGATAACAGTTAGGTGGATTTAATCAGCTCAAAATGAATAATAATAGATTACAGTTATATGTCTGTGGAGTGTTAGCAAGCAAAGACTATAGGATTAGTAAAAAAAGGTTTGCATGTGAAAATGTTCTTTGTACAAATTTTCAAGCATCAAACCACAAATGTGAAAACTGGAAAGCAGGGCCACTTCCTGGATTATTTTCATTCTACAGGAACACTTGATTCAGGTTTACATTCTTAACACAGTTTATGACATTTAAAACAAACCAATACAGGTCTGGTGAAACTGGACAAGCATAAAGCTCGGGGAGAATTTGGCAAACAAGATATGAAGCCCCTCTATATGTCTCTTTGTTCAATGACTTTACTTTGGTGTGTGAACGAGTGAGACATGTGCACAGAAAGAAACACGTTCAGTGTGAGTGTGGACTTGTAACGGTGAGAGAGGACTGAAAAAGTTAAGAGGAAGAGGGTGATCTGTTTGCAGTGGAATGAGGAACTAAACAAGACATTTTTGAAAAGAAGGGGGTTTTCCTAACTTTGGAAAACACAAAGAATACAAATATCTCAGGATGAAAAAGATGTCATACATATAATCTCCTCTTCAGATGTGAAAGGCAATCTTGGAAAATGTCTGGACCCAATTTTCCAGTCATTTGTTGGAGTGCATGTCTGAAAGCAAAGAATGAGGCCACCCTCTGAATGTGGTCTGAGTGATGGGATCTCAAGTCTCTCGAGTCTCCGCAGTCTGTCTTGGGTGTGTTCATAGCTGTCCACTTATGATCAGATCATCTGAGACACGTTAG